TGTGTGTGTGTGTGTGTGTGTGTGTGTGTGTGTGTGTGTGTGTCCTGCAGCCAGTCCTGTTTGTGATGTGCGCCGGGAACGAGCTCTTCTTCTGCTTGCTCTACCTTCTCTATCACATCGAGGAGCCGGCAGGTAAGAGCTTATTATCCTCGTCTTCCTCACTTTCACAGGTGAGACTGAGTTTGGACATCAGTGTTTACGGATCAAAGTTGTTTTAGTCGATTAAGATTCTTGTCGACTAAAATCTAATGTGGATTCAGTTAAAGTGTAAAGTTTGTTTTTGCTGGTCAGAGTTTCGGTTTATTTTCTTTGACATCGAGTGTGAACGTGTTCGTACGTCTGCTCGTCTCTTCCTCGCGAGTGTCCTTGTTTTGTTGTGTGTTCAGCAGAGATCGTGGGAGCTAGCTTCTGATTGGCTCACGTCCAAACTCATCCCACCTTTCTGCACACCTTTATTAGTTCTGATTGGATCTCATCTTTCCAGAACATTTTCATTTTATTTTTTATTTGTTGATGAAAGTGTTGATAAATGTCATGGTGGTTGTTCTCTGCGAGTGTTAGTCGAGTTCTCGTTATTGGTTAATTAAAGCTGTGAGTCATGCTGAGCTTCTTTAGCAGAGTCCTGCTGTTAAAATCCAGAGCTGGGAATGTTAACGTGTTCAGGTGCTGAACAGGAAACTCATCGTTCCTCTGAGTCTGATGTTAAACTTGAGTCGCTGCATTTCTCCACAGGCTGGCTCTACTGGCTGCAGGGGCTCTGCGGGATCATCTGCCTGCTCAAGTCCGGCATCAGCGTCCTGCACCTCATCACCGCCTCCAAGAACATGGCCGCCATTGATGCCGCCGAGCGGGAGAAGGCCTTGAAGATGAAGTAAGAGGTCACGGGGAGGCGGCGAGAGCTGCAACAGCATCAGCAGATCCGTCGCGGTTTCACTTATTGTTGTTTTCTTAAAGGGAAAGTTTGTCAGACCGACACGGATTCTGACCAAATATGGAGAAAAATATTCCGAATCCACGGCGCAGCCTTTAAATCACAACATAAGCTCATAATGCAAACTTAAAGGACGACACGCACGGTTACATGTATGATAAACGGACAGGTCCCCGGTTACCGCTCTCCTGTTTTATTACGCTAACGTGAGAGGCGTGTCCGTCGAAATGACAGCGAGAGCTAACGCAGGTGTTCTTTATTTTTCCGTTAAAGCTGAAACGAGCCGACGATTCGTATCAGATTTATCGAGTACACCTAATCAAATGTTGCTCATTCTCACTGCCACACTTTCTCAGTTTTACATCATAGCAATAATTAAAAAACATCTGAACGCTTTAAAAAAACAACAACAAATTTTTAAATTAAATATTTAAGTTTGAACAGACAAATACGGAGGACCAAAAGTCAAAAAGGAATTTAAAAATCACTAAAAGAATAAGAAGTAATGTTAATAATGACTGTAGGCAGGAAAAATAATGTTGCTGCTATCTGCTAATGTGTTTATACATCCATCAATATTTAAATCTAGAAAGAAAAGTAAATGCAGAAATAAGAGGAGTGACTAAAGTCCGGCCAAAATAAATGAGGCGCGATCTGAAAGGACAAATATGTAAATAAAGAAGCAAATAAATAATTATTACAAAAGTAAACAATAACTCAACCTTTTTTTTGGGAGGGGAGGGCATTCTTAGTCCTCCGTATCTGAATATCAATGTTCCAAATTGTTGTTGTTGTTATTATTATTATTATTATTATTATTATTATTATTTTCCCATTTTACTGACCAAACTATTAACAACATTAAAAAAATGAAAATACAGATTATTGTAATTACTATTATTGCTGTTATTTTTAGTATTATTATTGTTGTTGTAATTATGCGTCATTTCCAGGTGTGTAGCAGCAGGATTGTGAGGACAGACTTCTGTCTGTTGTTAGGTCGAGGTTGTCGGCTCAGTGATTGTGATTAATTGACAGATGATTGATGGGAGGCTCAGTCTGAAGCTGAGAGGAGGCGGGCCGTTCGGTCCGACTGGACGCACCTGTGCAGGTGTGCGTGTAGATGATGTCATGACTCAGTGGTGTCTGTCAGAAGGCCTGAGGCTCTTTCCAGGACACCGACTTTTTTATTCGGAGGAAAAACTCCAGGTGTGTTTAAATGAATGAAGAGCAGCTGACGATGTGTAGCGCCCGTTAACCGTCCGAAGTCGCCTCCACCGTGACCGTCAGGCTGGTTACCGACACGTTAATGGTAAAATCTAAATTCTAATGCTTATTCCACTCTCTGAAAATCCACTTTTTATTCCTTATTTAGATGTTTTTTATTTGTGAAGACGAAACCGTCCCTGAAATGATGCCACGACCAAAAGCTTAAATATTCCTCTCACCTTTCGTTCTGTTCCTGCGCCTCACTTCCTGTTCCTGCTGATGCTTGGCTGATTAGACGGAGGCTGAGCAGTAGCTGGGCTCGTTTTATTTTAGTGCTAGGAGAGGAAGCGTCTCCTCTGTCAGAAACTGTACGTTTACCTCACCTGAGGAGCACCAAGTGTTACCTGTGTGTGTCGCTTTGACGGAGCCAATCAGAGAGCGTGCTGAAATCCGCATACTGTATTTGCTAGAATGTATTAATATGAAATATATATCTCGACCTGAAAGCAAAGTTTGATGTTCTATTTAAAAGGAAATAATGTTGTAATTTAAATATTTGATGCTGGTTTTGTTTGCTTGGTTTGAATTTACTGTAAAAAATTAAAAAAAAAGTTGCAAAAGAAAAACGTTGTGTTCAATAAAAAAATTCCGATTTAAACTTTTCTCCTTCGAGGCAGTTTGGACTCCACGAGCTGCCGATTTGATTGGTTCTGCTTTTCAGCGTTGAAGACGAGTGCAGAGCTTCCACAGCTGCTGTTCTGTCCTCTGCACTTTGACCTTCAGTTATTTCTTCCTGTTCCATATCACATCAGATCTTTATTTTTTGGTAAATTCTTGTTCTACTGAAGCCAAAGAGTTTAACACAACCTGAACGACTTAAACCGGGAACAGCTCAAGAATCTAAAAGTGTGAAATAAAGGAGCCGAGCATGAAATGAGCAGACTGGGTTTATTTTAACATGAATTCATGCTGTCATAATACTGCATGTTCATACTGACGCTGTGGGGACGTTATCCCGAGAACATCTGCACGTCAGCTCTGAATGACAGCGCTGATGCACAGCTGTGGATGCCTGAACACATCTGGATTCATGGTGAGACACAAACACAGACCCGGTGTGGGCCGAAGAGAGCTGAGGGAAGTAACCAGCCTGCAGCTTGATCATATAACCACTGTAATTTATATAAAACCAGTTTCTTAAAAGTCCTGAACAGAAGCTGAACGTTGACTTAAGCTGTGATTCGTCCACAGATCATCGTTTTTCTTTTATATTCCAGAAACGGTCAAAATGTGGGAGTGTCCCTGCAGGTGGACGGGTAATAAAACTGCTGAGCAGCCACTTAAAGAGGGGCACCTGGTCACTCCACCTGGACCTGCAGGGCCACGGGACAGCTGGGCTTCTCTTTAAAACATCTGCAGAAGTGCAGCTGCCTGTGATTGTTTTTCTGTATTTCAGCCTGGAGACCCGAGGGCCCGCCTTCACCTTCCATTCAGTCTGACATTAAAAATAAAACAGCTGTTTTCATCTGAATATTAGTGCTGACACGTTCCTCACTTTGAGAGAAAATCACATCAACGTTATTTATTACAACAGCGGGAAATTCCTGTTACACCAGCCAACGACAAAATGAACAAATACAAGTTCAGTCAGCACAAGTATAACTAAATAAAATGGAAGTGACAATTTTATAAACAAGGTAAACAACATTTTTAAAAAGTAAATAAAATACCTCAATGAATGAAGTAAATCAAAATAAAAGAATAAAATTAGTTTAATAAGTGTGAAGAAAGCAGGAAATGGCATTTAGCGTTACAGGAGCTCAGGATAACTGCACTACAATGGCTGAACAATAAAATAATAAAATCCAGCTGTGCTCATTTAAGGTCGAGCGGATTCGTGGGGATGTCCTTCGTGTCGTGGCTGTGTTACTGTCAGCACTCAATCGTGCAGTAAGTCCGCCGGAGACGGGAATTTAGAGTCGTTTGAATGGAGTCTGGCGGGCCGCGCGGTGTGGCCCGTTCACGGACGGACGTCATGTGTTTTGAGGTTACATCCAGCTGTTGCACTTGCGCGCATCGTTACCTTTAAGATGCTCGGGGATAAAGGCTCATTTTAGCCGAACCCGACACCATTTTACCGGAGAGTTTGGCGCGAACGCGGCTCGGATCACCGCCTGCCACCTCTTCCCCGCAGCGCAGCGCCAGTTTTCGGGTTCCTTTAAGCGAAGTGGCGGAGTTAACGGCCGAGCTGATCCCATAAATGTCGGATTTGATTATCTGTCGGCCTACCGAGAAGTGGCGGGGGCGAGAGGGACGGCGCGGCACGAGACGAGCCGAGACGGGGTCCGCGAGGAGGGTGCACACGCCAAATACTTTCCCTTTAAAGCAGAGAGGGACAGAGGGGGTGAAGAAGAGATAAAAAAAGAAAAGGAAGAAAGAGCGAAGGGAGGGAGGGCGAGAGGGAGCGCGAGGGAGCGGGTTTGAAAAAAACAGAAAGATGTCATCCTGTCGATTCAGACACCGAGGCGGAGCCACGGACCGCGGCCGACCGGGAGCGCTCTAGCCGGGGGACGAGCCCTACGCAACTCCGAGGCTCGGAAGCCGACGCTGCGGCCTTGTCGGAGCTATAAACGAGTCCCGAACAGCCGCTGCTATGATTAGCACGTCTCGACTGCTCGGCTTCGCCATTAAAATACTTTGCATGCAGATTTTTATTCCAGTCGACATAAGCAAATTAAATTAAACCGCACCATTAAAGCAAGTACGCATGAGACCAACCATTCTGTCGCATTTACAGAAGCATCTGCTCAGTGACTGTTTAGCTGCCATATTAACTCCTGCCTCTCGGAGGCTTCTTCTCTAAGAAGTGTCAGGGCTTTGGGACTCATTTCCCCTGTCGGTGGAGGGGAGCTGCCATACAGGCCTCGCGTTTTGTTTTCACAGCAGCTCCCGGAGCTTTTCTACCTCCCCCTCCTCCTTCTCCTCCACCTCCTCCTCCTCCTCTTCGGTCCCCAGCTGGGTCTCCTTCAGGATGGACACCTCCTGGAGTAATTTCCTCTTTCAGGTGAGTGCTGAATTCCCGTGGCTGCTGCGTGGTTTGGGCTTTTTGAGGGCGGGTGGGGGCCGTTGGGCTTTGCTGCAGGTGGGGAGGTCACGGAGGGGTCAGGGGGGAGTTGTTGGTGTGGATCCCCTTGTCTCCACTTTGATCCTGCTGACCTCTCACCCGGGGCACTGCCTCCTTATTTAACCTGTCAGTCCCCTGAAAGTGAGAGAAGGATTTGTGTTTGTCCTCACTGATTCTTATATATCACTCTTCTGCTGTCCTGGAGCACTCAGAGCGCTTTACCCATTCACACAAGCGCCTACTGACAGTCTTGGGGTGCAGACTAGGAGGACCAGCCACCAATCTTCCTGCTCTACCTCCTGAGCTACAGCCACTCTGCATGAACCCTTTAGGGGGCAAATAAATACTCGTTGCCCCCTTTAGAAACACTCCTCGACCCGCTTTAGTTTGTAATCGAACTTCATGTTGAACAACAGTGTAAGTAAAAGTGTTTTACTTTTGGCCAAAGTATCGAAGCACATGACAGACTATCAGCTTCTTCTCATGCTTCCATAAGACCCATGAAGCATAAACTGGTTCTGCAGCTCTGCTGTGGCAGGTTTGTGTGAAGTAAAAACAAATTAGGCCAAGCGAAATATTTTTTGCACTTTGATTGTGACCTATAACCTCTGAAGGCTGGTTTCTAATTAGCCAGGCAGTGCTAAAACAAAAAGACGAGAAGAAAGCCGTTCTGAGAGGCCGGATGTTCCCACGTCTGAGCTCTGAGCTGTTTCTCTTACGGAGAGAAACTTTTCAGCGCACTGTTAAAAGATGTGGGCAAATGT